AAGAAAGCATATTTCAGACCCAGCCTTCCCAGGGAGCCGCCTACATTTTCTGTTTAAATGACGGCACTTAGGATGATGTATGAAAGTCAAAGAGGCAATGTCCACGCTCATCTCAGGTTTACTTCGGCATTATTATTCATGAAGCCCTTTCTGAGCTCTATTCAAGGATATCTGTAAGCTGTTTCCAAAGACCAGGGACCCCTACTGTAATAAACAAGTCATTTACATGGGGGAAATGGAAAACCTGCCACGTCTGCCAAATGAAGGCAGACATGCCTGAGCAGAGAAGGACTGATGAAGCGAGGTTAGAGAAAGCTGAAAGCTGGGTTAAAATACATCAAATTTGCCAAGGAATGAAGAATATACCAGCCACCACCGGGAGCGGATGTTTGTGCCTAGATCATGTTGAATTGACTTTTTTTTAAAGAAAGCCATACATATGAAAGCTCTAAAACCTGAGGTTTGGGCAAATTATGGCCCAGGGCTCTCAAACACCTGCTCCATCCTGGTGATGGATAAAGCATTTCTTACCGGCTCGCTCTGCAGGCATCTGAACAGCACAGGTGTCAGTCCTGCTTGAATGCATCCACGTGTCCTGGGCTCTGCATTCACCGCAGCCCAGGTGCCTCCTCGGCATCCGGGAGAACAGTCCTGATACAGAGAGCAAGAGCAGAGGCCTCTGATCAAAGGATGTGACAACCCACGACTTCTGCATCACGGGGGCCTGTCCCAGATCATGAAACCTTCACCTTCAAGTTCATTCACTTTAACAGTCAGGTACAGAGCACTCATTCTGTGCCAGACGCTATTCCAAGCACCTATTGACATGCAGTCGTTCACTGCTGACGACAACCCACCCTAAGGCAGGTACCATCAACCGGCTTAACGCACAGATGCCACAGGTAACACGTTCAAGGTCACACAAGGAGAAAATGGCGGAGGTCAGCTGTGAACACACGATGACTTCCGGTTTCAGACTTTCCCTGACAAGTGTTTTTTTGTTGTTATTGTTTGGGGTGG